CAATGGAAATGCTTATATTTAAAATATAATATAAAATTTTTAAATGTGGAGGAGGGTGAAAGAATATGAGTACAGTAAACTTCAAGGTTACCAATCATTTTATATTTCTCAAGCTGAAGAAATGTGGAAGGCATATGGATGTTTATCTTAGCATTCTCTTTATTTTACATTATTTATCATCTTTTTATGTATAAAATTTCATAACTTCAAAACATACTTGTCTGCATTTCTATCTAATTCACTTCTGTTGTAATAACCTGTTGACGAAAGAAAGTACATGTATATGAAAGAACTAAAGACATTGACATAAAAGGAGACATATTTTACGTTTAGCTATCCTAATTTATTTATTTTCTGAAATACTGTGGGTTTTTTTAATAATGTATTGTTCTCAGAGATAGAAATTACTTTGCAAAAAAAATGCTCACTGGCTCTGAAAATCAGTATACAAAACCACTAATTAATTACTAATGCTCATAAGTGTTCCCCCTGCCAAATGAAATATTTTAATGGGGTTATATCAAGCATATTTTTAATCTTAAATCTTGTTCAGGAGAACATTTAAATAAAACAAATGCATGCACAATTATTTCAGTTTCCTTTTTTTGTTGTTTCTGTTTATGCTCTAAGTAGAACCCAGAGGAATGCCAATCATTATGATGCCACTTGAGAAACACTTCTAGTGGTGGAATTTTTCTTTGTGGTCAATTCATTGTGGAATTTTGATCTAGTAGCAGGTCCATTTATGTTGACTCCATCGTATTATCAAATGTTGCAATTCATTTGGCTTAAGGATGCCCTTCGTATTGGTAGAGTAGGCTTGGGATGTGCCGATTTAGTCATGGAGAGGAAGAAAACACCTCTCTACATCACTTCAGATGCAAACCCTAAGCAGGTGAGTTCTTATCAAAGCAGAGCTGGTGTTTTAGCCCCATTTTACTCCTGTGAGGTGAGCTCAGAGGGTTTGACTTTCATTTAACTTGGTGAAATGCAACTGCAAATTTTTTACACTACGACTCTAGGTTTTTATTTTGTTTAAGGCCATTTCTTTTTGTTAATGCTTGAAATAAGGTACGGAGAATGTTTATAATAAAGTTGATAATAAGAGAGAATAAAATGAGTTTCGATATCTAACAGTACTCAAATTATAGATAACTACAGTGAAATTTAATAAAACAATTTAAATACACTAATGTAAATACAAATAATTTAAATAGAACTCTATCGTAGGTTTATTATTTGACAAATTTCTAATGTCTTTTATATGTGTTTCTTGGCCTATAATGACACAGCAATTTGCAGATTTAAAATATGACACTCCTAAACATGCTGAAATTCTTATCGACAGTCTGTTCTTGAAAAGGATTTGCTTTATTACATATGCTTCAATTTCTGGATGAAAGTTACAATGTTTAATGGAATAAATTTCTCCTTTCTTCTTCTTCGACCTATACAAATAATCTCATTTAAGAGTGTGGAATAGCAAATCTCTATACCATATGACCTTCCATAAACCTTCTCAATCAATATATGGAAGGATATTGATTTTTTCCCCCTCCATGTTACTCTAGGACAGTTTCCCGGCACGATTTGGAGGAATTCATTTTGTCAACCAACCGTGGTATATCCATGCCCTGTATACTGTGATCCGGCCTTTCCTGAAGGAGAAGACTCGGAAAAGGGTATTTGTTACTTTATTTTTATATCCTTTCTCCTCCCCATTCAATAAATTATGATGCATACTGTGTATTAATATTGGCTATGGTAAATGTGCTTCTATATTCTACATAAATATTTAACATTTTAAAATTCTTAAAGACTTGGTATTAATTCTGAGCAGTTTATCTGTGAAAGAAATATTTAGAAGCTAACTCTTATTTTCCCATGAATGGGAAGAACATTTTAGCACATTTCTTATATATTAAAGCCCGTATAAAAGTTAAAAAAAAAATTATGCCATATTACTATATTGTTATTGGTACAGTTAATTTCAAGTAGGTCTAGATAAAAGGTATAATTTTATGTCGATAAATGGGTGTTAGTTATTTCACGATATGTATAGCATTGAATATAGTGAATTATGTGATGTGTAATATAAGTTTGTGGTGATTGTCATGATCAATCACACATTTCAGAAAGAATGTTAATATGTAGTTATATTAATATTTCTTTAAATTACACATTACTTGAATTCTGAGATTCAGTTTTAGCTAACAATGAAGATATTCAAAGTATAAACAACAAAATAATCAGTTTTTTGAGAATATGATAATTTATATAAAGCATTTAGCACAGTGCATGGCACATGGTAAATGCTGAACACATTTATCGTTATTATTAACAAAATATTTTAAAAATGCATTTTAATGCACATTATTTTATCCTCTTAAACAGCTTTGAAAGTAAGCTTCGTAAGCATTATGTCCTATTTCAGAACAGAGGAAAATGAGTCTTTGGATAAATAAGTAACTTGCTTACTCATTTATACAGCTGTAAAGTGGTGCAGCAATATTTGAATCAAAATAGCTCCACATTTAAAGTTATTTTTACCGTTGTGCTGTGCCAATTTTCAAATGATTAGTTCCCCAGTAAAATACTTCTAAATCTATATGGAAGATATTTTTCCATGTTTCTCAATGAATGAGAAGGCGCTTCAGGTATTTCAGTTTTTCAGTGCAATAGAAGCCTCATTGTGAGTGGGAAAGTGAAATAATTGTTAAGTATGTGTTTGTATCAAACATTAGTGGCAATTTTCTGTTTATGAATTTGTTGAGAATTTTCCAATGCTTTAGGAGGAAGAATTCCGTAAACAATTATAATTGATATTAGGAATTGTTTCTACCGCTGAGAATCAAATTAATTTACATTTTAGAATTCAGAAAAATGTGTTGACGTGCCTCACAAATAGCAGTTTCAAATTTTGTTTTGTGAAGGGATGATCCAAAACACCTGCTGGGGCTTTTAGTATAAATTATACTAGTGAACGCTTTTGTAGTATTCATTCTATGCCAATGTTGTTCTGAGTACTCTACATATGTTAACTCATGGAATCCTTAAAACAAGGCTTTTTTCTCTCCTTTTATAGATAGGCATGAAAGGTTAAGCAATTTGTTCTAAATTACTGCTAGGCGGTAGTAGAGCTGAATATGCGGATTTGTTGGGAAAAGGGACTAGAAAAAAGATCTTTAGGTAGAAACATTCCAGATATATCTGACAAACAGCAGGAGCAGAATGAGGGATTTATTGGGGAGGACTGGGTAGCAGAGGACTGGGTAGGAAGGAATATAGTGTGCCATACAGGGCGTTGTATACCGCTGCAAGGATCTGGGCTTTCTGTTAGAGTAAAATGAGAAGCATTTGAAAGACTGAGTATAGGGGTGACTTGTCCTGACATGATTTTAACATGATTCTGCTCTGTTGAAAAAGATTGAAGAGGATTAACTCTAGAAAACCAGGAAAGCTCCAGGTTTGGGGGTTATTTGATAGAATTTGACAATTTTGACAATATGTAGAAGAATGCATTGCTAGCATTATTCCAGATGGAAGTGAACTATCTCAACTTTAGCATTTTAATTAAAACTATATGACTTGCAAATTTTCATATGAAAAAATAATTACAGGTTAAAATCCCTTTAATTTCAACTTATATAATCGATGCACAATACAAACCTATTATTTTTTCTTACTAGTATCCCAAGTAATTAAGCTTCATAATATTATTTAAATACCTTATACTTCAGGTGCTATAAATCTACATTCTGAAAAACTGGTAAAAGAAAACCTAAGGAGTAATTGTAAATCTTCTTTCATAAACAGGAAACACCTGGTTCTTTGTTTTCTTAAAGTAAATCTGAGTTTGAGTCTCTGACACATCTGGCTGATGTGAAGGAATATCAACCTTAGGTGTTATAGGGGTCCCTTCTGCTCATAATGTCGCCAATACCTGGAATCTTTCATGCAAAGCCAAACTTCCCAGCCATCATGGCCACTTATGACATTCTCACTGGTCAAGCCAGTATTAGTTCCTTGAATTAAGATCTACTTCTGCTCTCAAGGTGTCTGTGAAAAAAGAGCATCTTTGCTGGAGCTAGAACCCAATGGCTTGGCTTCGACCCTTCCAAGGAACTGGCAGGAAACAGGTTCTCCTTCTGGTTTGTACAAATTTCTACCACGTCCTCAAAAGTACCTATTCCTTGCCACTTTTCAAAAGTATTCTATCCTCCTCTTTTCCACTCCAGTCACCTGGCATATTCTCTTTAATGACACAACTTATGGAAATAAAATAAGAATGGAAGTATTATTCAAGCTAATTTTTAGAATTTTAAGGTACTCTGAGGCAAAGGTCAAAGCTTCTTGCATGAAATAGAGGAAGAGAAAATATAAGGAGAAAAAAATAGTAAAATATCAATAAATGATGTTACTACACAGAACTAGTTAAAACAAAGGAAAATATAAGAGCAAAAATTAAATAGTTGAGCAATTTCAATGCATCCTTATCACCCAGACTAGAAGTAAATTCACATTTAAAATTTCTCAAAGAGAATCTTCATATAATATATATATTTTAACAAGTCTTAGATTTGAAGAAAATGTATTATGTTTTATGAATTGTCAAAGCAGTATATACATAATGTAACTAAGTAAATTATATGTGAGAAGGTGAGAGGTATTGTAAAGAAACTCAATGTGGAGAAAGTAGATAGTGCTTTCTATTTGGAGTAGCTTTGTCGTATTAAAAAAGAATCACTAGGCTAGGGAAGGCCTTCCTAAAAGGAAGAGACTTTGAAGCAAAGACTTGAAGGATGTGGGAGGACAAACCATGGGAACATCTGGAGGTGGAAATCTCCAGGCAAAAGAAACATTCATTGCAAATGTCCTGGGACATTGTTCTGAGACAAATATGTATATGGCGTGTTTCAGCAGGGAGCGAGTAGTAGGAGATGTGTTCAAAGGAGGGGTTCATGAAGGATTTCACAGGATTTATTCTAAGAGAAAGGAGAAGCCAGTGGGTAATTGTGAACAGCATAACATGGTCTGACTGATGTTTGGATGTGGTCATTCTGGCTGCCGTGTTGAGAATAGAACGGAGAGGGCGGGAGCAGAAGTAGAGAGAGCAGTTAGAAGGTTAGTGCAGTAATACAATTTGAAGGATGATGGAAGCTTGAGTTAGGGTTGTAGGAATGGAGTTGGTCAGATGTTTGAATTCAGGAGATATTTTGAAGGTCGCACCAAAAAGATTTAATAACAGTGTAGATTATGGGAGGAGTTGAGGAAGAGTCGAAGGTTGGCCTGAGAAACTAGAAGTATAGTCCTACTATTAACTGATTTTGAAAATAGAGAGGAGCTGATTCTGAGGAGAAAATTGTGATTTCAGTTGTGAACCTGTTACATTTGAGGTGACCACTGACCGTTTAAGTGGGTAGGAAGTAGAGAATGGAATTACCAGCATGGAGTTCAAAGGAGAAGTCTCAATTCAATATATGAATTTTTAGTGTATAGATAATACTTAAAGCCACTAGAGTGAATGAGATCACTAAGGAGTAAGTATAGTTAGAGAAGAGAATAAATTCAAGAACTGAAGCCTGGAGCTCTCTGACACAGCAAAAGAGACTGAAAGACAGCACCTATCAAGGTAGGATAAAAACAAGAGATCCTGGGAAAAAAATATTTCAATGAGGAGAGTTATCTACTATATCCAGTGCTGCTGAGAATTCAAGAAAGATAAGGACTAGAACTGGATACTGAATTTAGCAATTAGAAGGCTCTTGAGAAGAGTTATTTTCATACTGTGGTGGGAGACAACACTTATTTGGATTGGATTCAGGAAAAAATGGGACAAGAGTATTTGGACAATGAATATAGACAAAACCTTTCATGATTTTTGCAATAAAAGGAAGGAGAGAAATAGAATAATAAGTAAAGGTGGCAGTAGGGCCAAGAGAGATTTTTATGTGTCTTTGTGCAGGGAGAGGGATGAGTAGACTTGGTCTGTTTGTTCTCTGATGGGTAAGATCCAGCAGAGAGAGAGAGGAAATTTGATGATTGAGAGAGACAAGAGAGAATTGCTTGAGAAATATAACTGAGTAGAGGAGAATGGATGAATTCTAGTGTGCAAGTGGAGAGGTTGGCCTTTGTAAAGTTTATCCTTTCATTGTACTAGGAACGAAGGCAAAGCATATGGACACAGATGCTGGTGGGTGGGTTTCATCTGGTTGCCCTATTTTTTTTTTTTTTCAGTGAAAGAGGAAACAAGGCCAAAACCAACAGTGATGTTGAGGGAGGAGGTAACAGAGTGTTAGCGAAGAGAGAGGAAGTAGTGTGCTGGATTACATTTACTTTTCTAAGAATTTATTACCATAATTCTTGCATGACTTGAAAGAGAAAGTTTCTTACATAAAGTAATGCATCCGATAAAATAAAAGTTATATACCTAATAAAATAAGGGTTTCAGATGCTAGAGATTAACTACCCAGGAAAATACTTTTCGTTATTTTATGAGAAGAACCTAGGAGTGTGTGTGTGTGTGTGTGTGTGTGTGTGTGAGTGTGTACTCCATATTTTCCTGGGCTGTTGTGCTTTGGAAATAGGAGTGGAAAGGTGTAACGTTTCCAATTAACATAATGTAATATAGGACAGATGGCATCTTCTACCTCTGTAGGTCACACATCAAGTATTCCAGGCAGTTGTTTTCTCTGCTTATTTTGGCCAGTGACTTGCTTTTATTCTTCCATAATATGTTGACATTATTTGTTGATTGATGACACCCATCCCTCTCATTTTATTTGGTAGACTATTTATTTGATAGACTAGTCTTTTTTTTTTTGTTTTTCTATATGTTTACTTTGGTGGATTCTAAAGGATAGAAAGCAAAGATGAATGTGTTAGTCTGTTCATCATGAACATGAAGTATGAAATTATTTGTAAGTCACTTATAAAACTACACTTGATCTTAGCTAAAAGGCCAAGAAGTGATAAGTCACTTATAAACTACAATCCTTAAGTAAATATTATATAAATTTATATGAGATAACAACAATGCTTTATCAGATAAGACTGATCTGCAGTTTTGAGACTGAAATGAAAGAAGAAGAAAGAGGTAGCAATTTATGGAGAAACGGATCTTGAGTATGTAGCTTGAATAATTATCCAACTTAACAAAAAGCTCTATGTACACAGTAGTACCAATAATGAACATATACACACAGCTTTACATTTTCAATCCATTATTCCATTTTCTATTTGAATAAGCATGGAAAACTCTAATAGAGAAGATACTGGCAACATTACAGAACATAGGTCCTTTGGGACGTTAACCTTCACTCGACCGTTCATTATGATGATGCCAATATACTTTTATTTACATCACATACTTTACATTGTAAAGTAGTAATTTAGAGGTTACAATATTCCTATTTTTATTGGTAATAAAGAGAAAGGCTTACTAACGACAGCTTTTGGACTTAACAAGTTGGATGGGCTCTGTAATCGATGTGTCCCTTATGAGGAGAATCTGTTTTAACAGCATTCTCTATGTACATTATCAGCTTTGCACCACCATTAGGATGATGTACAGATCAACATGCACATCAGGTTCTGCTTATGTCCCCAACTATGAAACTAAATTTCTGGTTCCAGCTCTTAAACCCAATAGCTGTTGGATCATCTAGAAGCTACTTAAAATTCCTTAACCTTCAAGAATTTTATATGACATATTAGGATAACAGTACCAGCCTGCCTGTTTTACAGAGTGGTTGAGGGGCTCAACTATTTTAATGGACATGGGAAACTTATTTTTGCTCTTCTTATCCTCACTTCCTCCCTCCAGCATTTGGATCATATTGATTCTCCTCTGTTGTGTTTTCCCCCACCCTCTTCTCGCATTTGTAGATATTTTTGCATGGTAACAACCTGAACAGTCTACACCAACTAATTCATCCTGAGATCCTACCTTCTGAGTTTGGAGGAATGCTGCCCCCTTATGACATGGGAACATGGGCAAGGACACTGCTAGACCACGAGTACGACGATGACAGTGAATACAATGTGGACTCCTACAGCATGCCCGTGAAAGAAGTAGAAAAAGAACTTTCCCCCAAGTCCATGAAGAGGTATGTTGCAGGTAGCTGGGGAGGGGGCTGGGGACAGGGCAGAGGCATCCCAAGTTTAACTCCAGGTTTTATATTTTTCTGAAGTAGATATTTGGTGGGGATTTTAAAACCTTATCATGCTCCCATGATAAGATGTCTAGGAATTCTGAGTCAAAGATAAAGTCATTTGAGGTAACCTCTCGACTCAGTTTTGGTCCAAATTTACAATCTAGCAGGAACCTTAGAAGTCACCAAATCCAGTGGTTTTTCAAACTATACTTCGTGTTCTAGTGGAAGGCCTCAGGCCAACGGATGGGGTGGGGACAATCCCTGTCTTTGCTGCAATGAAAATGGCTTTCTTTCTACCTAAGCATTTTATTAAACTTCTGTATCAGATTTCATTTGAAGAAAGGGATTCATAGTACACACACACAAACATTAAAAGCTTATGTTTGTGTTCGAACACTAACATTAAAAGCTTATGTTCTCTTTACAGTATCTCTATCAAGTTTCTGTTTAAAAGTCTAGTCATTCCTGGGGCACAACGTTCTATTTACCTACACCTTTAATCTTTATAAAGTTCATTTTTGAGTCAGAGTCTCACTTCGATTCTTTGATTCTCATGGTATTTTTATTCCTGTTTTCTTTCAATTAATGCATATTTATTGAACACATGATGGAGGGGAGGGTAGTTACCAGACATGCACAGCTGTGTATTTGCCTCTAAGTTTGCATTCTATAGCAAACTGGAAGACATTAATTTCCAGGTTTTCACAGGCCACACCAGCCCAGGGTTCATTTAGATAACATAATGATGTTATTCATTGGTTCATTTTCTATCACAGAAGTATAGGAACCACAGCTCCTGCAAGCATGTTCTTACCTAGCTCAGGAAAAACCCAAGAGCATCTCACATGCCACCCAAACACTGTCTTACATGCTTCTCTGATGAAAGCCTCATGGTCCTTTTGTCATTGCTCTGTCTCATGCTGATGCTTCTGGTGGTGGTGGTGGTGTGTGTGTGTGTGTGTGTGTGTGTGATGTCCCTCTTTCCCCAGGCTGCTCCACCACTGCTTGGAGAGAATGAAAAGGCCTATGACATCTCCAGCTTTAATTTCTCCACTAACCATCAAGCTTATGTTTAAACTGAATTCAGCCTTCTCAACTCCTTTCTTTTAAATCAAGGCATCTTAATTTGAGTTCTATGCTCTCCTAAATGAAGGGGTTCATGGTTAGAGTTATGTCTCTCTTTCCCCAGGCTGCTCCACCATTCCTTGGAGAGAATGAAAAGGCCTATGACATCTCCAGCTTTAATTTCTCCACTAACCATCAAGCTTATGTTTAAACTGAATTCAGCCTTCTCAACTCCTTTCTTTTAAATCAAGGCATCTTAATTTGAGTTCTATGCTCTCCTAAATGAAGGGGTTCATGGTTAGAGTTGCACAGGAGTTTATTAAGTACTGAAAGTTATATTCGAAACTGTGTCAGTATATGTGTATGTGTATATGTATATATAGTGTATTTTCTGAAGAGAAGGCATATATCTCCTCAAATTCTCTGCTTTAAAATTTTAAATGACTGCTAATTATACAATATAAAATCAACCCCATATCATGGCTTACAGTGAGCTGTATGATCTGATCCTGCCTACCTCTCTTCTCTAAATTTATTTTCTTTTTCTCTCTCTCCTACTTTTAAGACACAACATCCTTTATCATCCTTCAGCTTCTTCAGCTTGTTCTTATCCGAGGATCTTTATAATTGTCACCTGTGACTAGAATTCTTTTTTCCTACATTGTCTAAAGGCTGGCCTCAGTCAAAGGTCATCTTCTCAAGAGGATATTTTAGTATTTCTCAATTACCGGGTCTTAATCAGTTCTATTTCCTTCTTATTCTAGTCACTTCCTATCAATCAACTCCTTTATTTTATTCTGTTACTTATCAGTCTGATTTTATTTAACTTTATAACCCCCCACCCCCGCCCCAATGTAAGCTTCATGGAGACTTTAGTGCCTTTGTCTCTCTTGTTTTCTTTGGAATCCCCAGTACCTGGCGCGGGGCCTGGCACACAAATGATGCTCACTAGAGACTAGTTGAATAAATGCAGGAGTCTTCTGCTGTCAGTGGACCCTTTTAAGTGCAGTGTTTAGAACTGAATAAGTGATAGCTGACACTATTACTACTTGCATTGAGGTTCCAGAATTCTGCCTTTGCAGTGTAGACCTCATTGACTTCCTTTCATTGCTACTGTTGTTGTCACTGTTGCTGTCCTTTAGGCATCCCAAGCACATTGCTGACTCATATCGGGCTCCTTAAAACTAGTAAGCCTCTTTACTTTTAGATCCATATCCTCATAATTCTCTATTTTTACGTTTAGCTTTTTCATCCAAGCACATTATTTTAATTGATTAACGCCATCTTGTTGTTAAGATAGATTTGGCTCAGTCTATCCACCTTTTGAAGTCTTTATGGATCCTGATTTTCTTCTCCAATTAATTAGGCCATGTTGTCCCCTGCAGACTTGGCTTATAGCTTATCAACCTCTCCAACCTTGAGTTTCTTGCTCTGACGTGGGCTAATTAGAATCTCAGACATCCTTTGTTTGTGTAGGTTTTGTAGCATATGAAGCTTTCATTGTTTTATTTGAAAACTTCTGAAAAAATTGAATTAAGAAAATTGTTTCATTTGATTCTCATCTTCTCTATGTCAAAGAATGGCAGTTCCCCATCAAGAATGGAAGAAAATTGTTTCTTGGTTTCATGCTGCTCTCCTCTCTATTTGCTTTTCCAGTTTTATGTCATCCTTAGATTGAGATGGAAAAAAATCATTCCTTCACCAAAGAGTTGTATATAATTCTTCCTTTCGGTGAATTTAGCTGGATGTGTAGGAAGAAAACTTTGTCCCCTTGTGTAAATTTGTGGAGGGATAATATAATCAGTAAAAAAATACAAAGTTCACTAGATTGTGGGTGCCTTAAACTTGGAGAGTATCTTTTACCTTTTACATCTAGTACCTAGGGTGGTGCTTAGCACATAACAGTTACAATAAGCAGCAGTACTAATACCATTATGGTAATATGAACTCCAATTTTATTGAATAATATTCAACATCTGCTGTTACTACATGCCAAACCCTATCTAATGCTTTGTATGTATTGACTCATTTGCTTCTCTAAACAAGTAAAAGATAATGGTATCCCATCTTATTAATGAAGAGACCCAATACAGAGAAGATAACTTGTCACATGTCACATAGCTACAAAGTAGCAATGCTAATATTGGAATACAGGCAATAGAATTTATAAGTCATTTCCTTAACTGCTACTATTTGCTATCTGCCAGAATTTGTGCTGGGATTTATGCATGCATTATTGTGTTTAATCCTCGATATATTCATATGATGTAGAAGTTATATTCCTCATTTTACAAATAATAGAACAAAATCTTAGGAAGTTTAATAGCCTCCCCATGGTCACAGAGCTAGTAAATAGCAGAACTGGAATTGGAATCCACCGCTGGCCTAAATCTAGCCTCTTAAACACTAAGGTATAGCATAATATTGTAGATGCATAATAAATGAATAAATGATACCTGGATAATTAAATTTAAATCATTGGTTTTCATGAAAAAAATAAAAGTTATTTGTTGCAAAGACAATAGAGGCTTTGTGGAGACTGCTAAGATGTACTATGTCTTAATGATGGACATCTCCCTCTATTGCAGCTGAAAAAGACCAATTCTTTAATAGTTATGATCTTGCACAAATAACCCTGTTGTTTTGTATGAGAGAAAAAAAAAAAAACTGGACCGAAATAACAGGATACTTGTGGCAATTAGATACCAAAAAAATTCTTAATCATCTTAATTGGAAATTGTTTCTGCCTGGCTTGTTTTACCGAGGAATTGTTCTATATGTGGAGCCAGCATTCCTCGTCAACAATTCCTGTATCTGTAATGCATGATAAAGGCAAACTGGGAACTTAATCCCAGACTGAACATCTTATTATGATTTAAAATATTTCATGAAAATCACCATATCCTCTAATATATTTTTAAAAATTAGTCAAGGAACATAAGGATTTAAAAGATTGTGTGTGTGTGATGTGCATTTTAATAAAACTTTATGGTAAATGCTTAAATTGTGTACTTTGTGCTATCTGAAGAGCTTGGTGTGTACTCATTGAATATTATTAAGCTAGACATCAACATTTATGTAATAGATTTAACTTCATGTGAATTTTAAAAATACATTTTTTGTTAAGAATTTTTTCTCTACAGGATAAATTGCTTTATCTTCATAACCCTTCATTTTGAATGCTTAATACTTAACTTCTTTCAGTATGGAAACTATTTACTGGATAGAAATTAAGACATTGAGGTCCTACTGTGTAACAAACTCTGTAATACACGTGTATTTGAAGTAAATAGAAACTGATCAGGTCTCTGCTCATGGAATTTAGAGTCTAGTCGGTACTAGTTATCAAGTTAACGTTTTATGCAGGACAATAAATGAACCTCTGTATGTTTTAGTATGGATTTATCTTGAAAAACCAATTTTTTAGTTGAATCTAAGAGAAACTGTTAAATGTCTAATTACTAAGTGTTTTCTGCAGTTGTTCACTGTGTTAAAATGTATTTTATTCATGTTCTTTTTCTAAGATAAATTATTACTCCTTGTCTCTGTCTCTGTCTGTCTCTGTCTCTGTCTCTGTCTCTCTCTCGTGCACACACACGTTCAACTTTAGTCAGTCTCCTTTCTGATATAGGCATCTAACACTTATTATTGAGATAAAATAGTGAAAATGAGTTAGGAAATAAAACCTCCTTGTTTTAATATTTTCACCTTTGTTTCATTCCCTCTTTAGAAAGGAATTCAAGTTTATTTAAATGAAGGACTCAATTTATCAATTAATCCTGTAATTATTTTTGCTTTGGTAATTAGTTCCATTGCTGTTCTTTTTCATCAGCATGTGCAGTTGTATTTCGCTTAAAGTCTTTCTGTTTGAAAGTTAATGAGGTCTGCTAAGAGGTGCAGCAATAGCCAATTGGCTGGAATGCAGCAGCAGGGGAAAAATTCATTACCAAGGAAAATTTTAAAAGGGCAGCTGCTTCCTTAATGCCATAGCTATTTGGATGGCAGCTTCCTGCAACAACAGTAGCATGTTTCATTAATTCTCCTCCTTCCCAGTTTTGTGTTTTTCCTAATATATAATTCCTACCTTCTATCAAAAAGGTTTTCAAATTATTTACTTTCCTAATCATGAAGTGCTGCTGCCTAAAGAAGAGGGGTTTTCAGGTTTTTAATTTTTAAAAAATATTTCAATTACAGTTGACATTCAATATTATATTAGTTTAAGCCATATGCATAGTGGTTAGACGTTTGTATAACTTACAGAGTGATCTTGCTGTAAGTCTTGTACCCACTTGACACCATATTAGTTATTACAATATTATTAACTATATACCCTAAGCAGTACTTTACTTCCCCATGACTATTTTGTAACTGCCAATTTGTACTTCCTTAGCCCTTCAATTCTTTTCACCAAGACCCCCAGGGCTTTAACATTTTTAAAATCTTAAAACATTTCACGAAATTTTCAAGAGTAAGATTGATTTTATTCGAATGTTCTAGTGGAAAATTGAATATAATTCACATTCAAATTCTGACTTTTTTCCTAACGTGATCACTAAAAATAAAAGAAAAAGATGGTTAAAAATGTATATTCATGTTGAATTTGTTTCATCAAGCCCTTTAAGACAGGAATCAAGGCCCCATTCATTTCTACTTTATGTCTCATAATAATAATTTTACTCTAATAATTCCCCATTTGGAAATGCACTATTGGAATCCATCTGTACTATACTAACAATTCTCAGTATCAAAGATTCTGAAGAGGGCATCTTAAGCCTATTATTGTATATTTAGAATCCTTTGCTGTTCATTATTACATTTAGAGGCCAGAGGGGATTGTTTCCTCTGATGCAAAACCCCATGGTACATATCTTTCTCTTTCTGAATGTGCAGGATTCTCAGTTCATAAATTCCTTAATGTAGGGAGAGATAAACCGCATCATTGAGAGAAGTAATAGTGGAGAAAAGGCAGAGAAGAGGATGTGATCATTTGGTAATAACTCACTGACATTGGCTTTATAATTTCCAGATCCCAATCAGTAGTGGACCCTACAGTATTAAAACGCATGGATAAAAACGAGGAAGAAAACATGCAGCCTTTGCTCTCTCTGGACTGACTGATAACTTCTCTGCACTCCCTATTGATTAGAAATGGAAGGTACTTTTTTCTTTTTTCAGCAACAGGGACAGCACTGTGGAGGAATTACCAGCTGGAAACTTATTTATTCTTGTTAATGTTGCATAATATATAATAAGGCATCAGGCTTTCCCATTTGCCTGAACCATGGGTGCCCTGGCCTGGATTAAAAAAAAAAAAAAGTCAATAATTTATTCTGTAAGTGCCAAGTTCTTTGTAAATACCAATGTAATCTTTATGTCAAGTTTGTAAATTTTGGTAATAACTAAAATTGTAAAAGTTTGGTTCATGAGTTCATGCCAGTGATGTGAACTAGAACAAAAAAAAACAGAAAAGACACATAAACAATCAAAGCTAATTAAATGGAGCCCTGTTTCCTATGAAGCCATATTTCAGCTCTCATAGTGATTGTTTCATTGTTTTTCTCTGAAACCCTGTAATACTCAAATGTACTTTTAATGGGCACAGAGAACTAGGAAATTCTAGGAAATTATTATGATAAATGTATTTCCTGTCTACTGATTTACATTTCGCAGAAAATGTGATATCATGGCCTTGCATTTCAGAGACAAAGAATGGCAGATGATCTGGTAAACTGAACACATGAACTCTTCTATGTTGTTTAATTCCTGGAGTCTTGAGAAAAGATATGTTTCGCAGATCAAGATGTGGAATTCTAAAAGAAAGTGAATTCTTTTTAAATTGCTTTCTTAACAATGTATCTTTTTTTTCAAGACCCCTTAAATCTCTGTGTGATGTACTTTAAGAACATTTTCCCCTCAAAACTCTTTAACCAAGAGAAAGAGAACTCATACATGAATAGAGTTCTGACAGCTAATTTTGAACATAAAAGTTGCCATGTACAGAAAAGGGGCTAATTTCGAATTATTGTGTTCTGGTTGAAAAAACATATATATTCACACATACATACACATACATATATATTTTTACTGAGCTCTAATAAATTCTTGATGTAACAGGCTTATAAAATCAATCATACATATTCAATGGTCTTAGAGACCTTATAGTATTACATGAGATGCTAACTGATAAACTACTTCCTCGAAAGTTAATGAAAATGAGATATAGTCAGACTTTCAGCGAACCTATTCAAGGAAATTCTAACCTAATTTTAATGCAATCTTGAATCTGTGCCATTTTAGTGAAGTATATTTTCCTTCAAAAAAAAACCCACAAAAAACAACAGGTATCAACATAGTGTATGCACTATCAGGTGACGAAGAGTAATATATATATATATTTTTTTCCAAATTTAGGTTAATTTTCCTAATGATCCTATAAGAACACATTTTCTTTCCAGAAAAGATTGAAAGAACAAATTGCATCCAGGAGACGTAATGAAAGCATCTGAGGCCATCTGAGATAGCATATTTATAGTTTAAATATAGATTTGGAATCATTATGTTATTGAAAGATTTTAGTTCATATAATTTCTGCAATTATAGCACATTTTAAAAATCTTACTTTAAATTTCAAATTCCAATATGAAGAAGTAAAAATTTTACCACTTTTTCAGAGTGGTAATTTTTGAGATTGAGAATTTACCATTAAAGTATTCTTTTGAAAGAGAAATATATCGAGGAACTCTTGGAAACCGACAGAAATAAAGGTGTGTAACAGCCTTTATATAATTTTAAACTAAAAGCTTAAAATTTTTCAGTTGTAATTTTACAGCCAAAAATCTTAAAATCAAGATCAGTACACCAATCTATGGTATCATCAATGGATTGTCTAGTATTTATAAAAATAATAAATATACATAAATAATATAAGTGAAAGATACCTTAAAAACACCAACTAGTCGAGTATGGAAGAATAATGACTATCTGCTCTACCTATAAATATTACAGAGATGGAAATTAATAGGGGATAAAAAGCCACATCAACTCTTTGTAAGAACCCTGACCATTTTGTTCTTACTTTTTTGCCTACCTGACATACATTTTATAGCCTTGGACTTTATATTCTATATAAGCAAGTGTTACAGTAATATGATGCATTGGAATAAAATAGAAAAGAAACTAAGTACAGAAGGGCAGTGAACTTTTCATTAATTTCCCTTGGTATGCACCATTTATTGCCAATTTTCAGAATTTTACTAGCTTCAGATGTCAAACAGCATAGCCAATTTCTTTCTTCTATTATAAGACTGGTGTCATATATAAAAATAACTAAGAATGCATTTTTTATGTCTATACCTAACTAATTATAAGTATCATTCACACTATCTCCCTGCCCCTCATTTAGGAACTTTGCATTGGCATGGCTCCTCGTCTGCTTTTCTTCAAATTAGCAATTGAGAATTGGCTGGATTGTGTAAAATATTTTAAAATGAATGAACAAATTATAACAATGTTCACTTTTGAAAGTGTTATATCTAGATTAGTCCATGAGTAAACTCATTTTCCAGGAATGTTTTTGAAGCTGCTTAGTCAAGGGATATTTTGTCAACTTTATGAATTTTGACTCAGCATCAGCTAACTAGTACCATTTGGGAGTTTTTTTCTCTCAGGTGATTTTCTCTGTGGTGTAGCTATGTCTGTTGTTACATAATGTAACAAATAAGCACCCCTATATTTCAATTTAATTTAGATAGTACACTCCCACTCACACACACTCACTTGCAAACACTAGACTGTTGCCCTACTAAATTTGCCTCTCAATTTTAAGAGCTATGCTTTGGTTTTTTAGCTGTTTTCTTCCTGTAATTATGTAGACATCAAAGAATTATCACATTTGAATTGGAATAGGCCAGTAGTTCATTTACTTCTCTCATCTCACCTGCTCTGCCTTCTATTCTTGTATCTTTTCTTTCTTCCATTGTTTCAGGGGCAGCAGCTTCCAAAGCTGCTTTAAAAATAAATAACTTCTCTTATGTTGTCAGTGATATTTGCACACTTTTTTACAGATATTTAAAAGGAAGAGATTGTCACGAAAATATACTCTAGGAAGTATGAAGAGTGCCTCTTTAAAAATGGAATAAAGCAATGGTACTAGAAAATGGGTTCTATTTATATTCTCTTCCAAAAAAGTAAATAAATACATCTATAGTATAAGGGTGAAATATAGATATCATTTGAAAAAGGATATTTGAGACCTTGCTGTGAGCATTCCTGTACAGTAATAAGTCTTTATTGTGTAAGTTCAATACAGTAACTTGAACACATGTTATTGACAAACCTGGCACTATGCTAAAAATATGTACAAGTATTAAATAGAGTTTTGCAAGCAAGTTTTTGAAATGAACATGCATGATTTCTTTTATTTCAGTAATATTTTGCATAAATGTAAGCAAAGACATTCATTAAGTCTTTTCACATAAAACACTTGTTTACAGTACTGAAAATTCATACATTCATAAGCAGCAAAGCCAAACAGCTAGGTTCTCTTTAATATTGTTAAATAGGTCACATTGTTAAATTAAACATTTGCAGTGTCCGTAATATTCCTGAGGGAGCAGAGATACCTCTAATGCATCAAGAAAATGGAGAGTTGTTTTAGACGTTGGGGAACATATTTATCCCTCTTCACAAAAAGAAACCTTTAGACCCAAAGCCGTGTGACTTCAGGAACAGACTTCCTTTCTTTCTAGGAACAACCTAAAGGTTTATGGACATGTTTAGAGAAGTTATATCAAGAAATCCTGTTGAGGCCTGTATACTCTGTTGTTTTATCTGAACATCTAACTGGACTGGTTAGTTAATAATTTATCTTTTGCTTCTTCTTATTTTGTGTGTGTTAATATGATTACTTGAAAAATTGCCATCAGCCTTGAGGACATTTCAGAATGATTTTCAACACACAAAATAAAATGAGCCAAGCTCTGGCATGGTATTCGAACTTTCAGATATGGTATTTACATTTTTTACGTCAATAAGCTAATAGGCATATATTCCATTTTATATGTGCTAAATAGATATATACCCTAAAAATAGTGGTGCATTTTAAATTTATGAGACCATTAGATCACAGAAGAATAAGCAGGTAATATAAAATATATTGGAACAAAAGTAGACAATTGGCTAAATATTCAGGGTGTGTAATTGTCTACAGTAGTGAAAAAGATTTTTTTGTTGTTTTAGTTGAAAAACCACTTTCTAATATGCTATTGGATATTCAGCACTACTTACTATTTTAAAAAGGGCAAGTAAGTAAAAATATGAAACGAGGCTTGGACTTGAAACATTATTATATCATGATCTTAATGATAATTTTTTATTAAGTTAAGTTTTCATTTTGTAAATATCCATCGGTTATTTATCCCACATGTGAAGATAATACTGTGAAGTCTATTGTGTGCTGAGTGTAGGAATTTATTATCCTGGACTGCAGGAAAAAATATAAAAAGAGAAATTCTATGGATTGAAACATCGAAATTGTGCTATTTTTCAAAGGAAGGGTGCAAATGATACTGTTAAAAATAAAAAAATATATAAACCAAATAAATATATGAGTTAAATACAATAAATGCACTTTTATAGTACATAGTGGATATTGTTACAATTTAGAAGATGTTCGGTTGTTATTTGACTTAATTTCAATGCAAATATTTTTGTCTTTAACTCTATCAATACATTTATTCTGTCAAAATTATTTCTCGAAGTGAATCAGAGGGATCTAGATGAATAGCAAAATAAATTTTAACGAAACTTAAAAGTGAAATGACCCTCAACTATTTTGAAAACTGCAATGAACTATATATAATTGATTTACAAATAGGAGCGTTTCAAAGCATTGCCTCATTTCTAGTCCAGTTTTCCAGTTTTCATATGTGTTCAAAAGTTAAATAAAACTCTAAAAAACATGTAGTTTTGTTTTCAAAACTTCCAGAAAAAAATGTCTAAGAGGTAATTATACAAGTCCTTGATAAGAATATTAAATTACTATTTGGCTCAAATATCTCTGACCTTTTCAGGGACATATTTATTCCAATACAATATCATAAATGGTATAATATACATAAATAAATACATCAAATAAACACATTTTGTTGCTTTAAAAAGCATTTATTTTGCATATGGTGATTGTCAAATTTGGTAGTACTAGACCTGTTGCATCTGTAAAATGGAGATTTATAAAGTGTCATCTAAAAATGGACAACAATAACTTTGTTATGAGAGAAATTGTAATTTGCTATTTTGGTGAGGATACATGTAATTTTCTGATATTTGAATGGGATTTGAAGGTGAAAACACATAATTCATTTCATCAAAATCATATTTTCAGTATTCTAAAATTCCAGACAAGCTTTCAAAGATAGTTTGATTAAAGGAGTAAATTAACTTTTAAGTTGCATGTAGCGACAAGAATGATCAGTAAATAAAATAACTAACACTTTCACATTTAATATAAAGTTATTGGCTTAGACAAGTAACTAAATTTAGAAATTTGAATTATAAAAATGTATTGATTTAAATAAATTCTAATAAAAATAGTCCCAGTTCAAAGTATTAAGTATAATAAAAATATTCAGCCTGACTTGGAAATATACTTACTCAATAAATACACATTTGTATCTTCTGTGAGTCTCCCTCATTTATCTTACCTGTGGATGAAAAAAAATCATCTAATGAGGAAAAAGAGACATTTACCTAGAACCCTCTATGATAGACTTTACTTTCTTTGGCTCAAGCACAGATGATTTTC